GGGCGGCGGCGGAGCGGCGGCGGCGGCCGGGCGGCATGCGATGGGGAACTGTTGCTGGACGCAGTGCTTCGGCCGGCTCCGCAAGGAAGCGGGGCGGCTGCCGCGAGTAGGCGGAGGGTAAGGAGCGGGGGTTCGGGCCCAGCCCCGCCGGCTCCTCCAACCCGGGCCCTCGCGGGGCCAAGGAACCCCTTCCCCGCGTTACCGTCTCCTCCCCACCCCACCCCCCAGCGTCTTCCCAGGGGGGAGCTTCTGGCCTGGGGTGACGGAGGCCCGGGTCGGGAGGCTGGCTCCGGGCCTCCCGGGAGGGGGGGGCGAGCGGGGAGACCTGAAGGAGGAGGGCACGGGGTGCGGCTCCTGCTGCCCCCCAGCAGGTCCCCTTCCCGACCGGCCACCTGTCACCAGGGGGCGTCCCCGGCGGCGCCCTCCCCACCCCGCGCTCCTGGCTTCTTCCACAGCCTCCCCCCCACCCCACCCCCCACACCCGACCCTGAGCTCTGGGGGTTCTGGACCAGCCCCTGTCCCTGGATGTGGATCTGGTCCTTGACCCCCATCAGCAAGTGATTTCCTGGTTCCAAAGTTGATCGTCTTAAGGTGGATTTTTTTTTTTTAAGTAGAAGTCGCATTTCCATGTTTAGGGTGCTGATAACCAGAAGAGTAGAATATGATTTTTTTCCCCCCGTATCTATTTATTTTTACAATTTGGAGAGGCCGTCAATGCGTGATTGCTGCCAGTACACTTTAATTAGCTCAAGCAACCAAAGCCCATCTGGACCTCAGGTCCATATCCGTCCTGTTAATTTAAACTCATAAACGTATGAAACGAATGAATTAAGAGGGTGTTTGACAGTTTCCTTACCCAAATCTTCTGATTACCTTCCTGTTCAGTCTTAACATTTTTAGCCACTATCCTGTCCGCAGGTAGAAATGAGTGTCTAGTTGCTATTTTTTTAAGTCACCCAGTAGGTTTGCTTTTCTTTAGGCACAGAGCTAGATAGTAACCTTCGGGTACTTCCAAGAGTGAGAAAGTTTAGGGGTGAGCTCAAGCTTTTCACTTGGTTTTATGTGTCACACTGCAATTACTGCAAAACAGAAAATAGGGCAATTTGGGCTTCCTTAAGGCTTTACGCTGGACTCCACCGGGTTGCCTTATATTCCAAGACTCCATTTCTTACCCTTGCAGCTTTCCCAAGAGTATCTCAAAATCAGATCACTCTACACAGTCTGATCTGAAAGCAAGAACTACCAAAAAAGATGAGAGCATTCTAATATGTTTAAATACTAGAATAGAGTTGTCTGTTAATTTATCAAAACTTCGCTGTTGAAATATTTTGGAAACCTTATTATTTGAAACATTATTTGGTGATTGAAATAAATCTTTAGAAATAAAATTAGGAGGTTTAAGAAACAAAATTTAGATACCTTAGTGAGTTATCCTTTACAATAGGGTTTTGCTTACCAAGATATTCCAGAGGGCTCCATCTGCTGGTCAGCTCTGTTTCTCTGGGCATTAGTGGAAGTCTTTTGTGTAGTTTGTTTTTTTCTTAAATGGAAGGCCCAAATTATATTTTGTTAGGTTGTATTTTAATTCCTGTATTTCTACTGAGCTACTGGAACAATTGTTCCAGTCAGTATATGCTATAGTTTTATATAAAAGTATAATCAAGCCAGGTATCTGTGCCTCATGATTATAATCCTAGCTACTCAGGAGGCTGAGATCTGAAGAATGTAGTTCAAAGCCAGCTAAGTCAGGAAGGGTCTTTGAGACTCTTATCTCCAATTTACCACTAAAAAGCCAGAGGTAGAGCTGTATCTCAAGTGGTACAACACCAACCTTGAATGAAAAAGTTAAAAGACAACACCCAAGCCCCAGTACTGACACACAATTTTTTAAACCATATTTTTATCTTTCTCGGCATTTAGTAGTTGTTGACCTTTTTTCAACATCAGCTGAGTGTCCTCAGGCAGCAGTTTACAAGGATTTTCTTTCCTTTTCCAGTAAAAATGGCTTTAATAACAGCTACCAACATTTAGTTACTTCCTGTGTGCCGGGCACTACAATAAATACATTATTCATTTAATCCCTACCACACCCTATAAAGAAGTAAGTACTATCACCAATTGAGTATCCCATATCTGAAATGCATAAGGCTAGATGTGTTTCAGATCTGGCATTTTATTTTAGCATTTTGAAATTCTTTATGCACATAATGATATATCTTGAGATGGAACCAAAACAAAACATGAAACTGCCATATTTTATATACTGTTTCTAAACCATAACCTGAAATTAATCAAGTGCATGTATATATTTTGTTGTCATTTGTTTCTTCCTGTGTTGCCCAGGCTGCCCCCAAATTCTTCTGTATGTTGACTTTAACTTGTCACATGAAGACAAATTGGAACTTCCCAATTGTAGCATCACATTGGTTCAAAAAGATTTAAGATTTTGGACCATTTTGGATTTTTAGGTTAATGCTGTTTAATCTATAGACACATTACAGATTGAAAACTGAAGCTTAGAAAGTTTAACTTGCCCAAGATAGTAGAGCTGAAAAATCCAGCCCAGGTCTCTCTGAAATCAAAGCCCTTACCTTAACCAGTAATAGCTCATGGTTCTTTATTCTGTGTGGCTGTGCACTTATACATTCTCTCTCTCTTCCTCTCTCTCTCTCTATCTCTCTCTCTTTCTCTGTCCTCTCTCTCTATCCCTCCCTTACTCCCTCCCTTCCCCCATTCCATATCCTCTCCCTCTTCCTTTTTCCTCTTTTCCCCTTCTCTCCCCCCTCCCTTCCTCTCTCCTCTCTCCCTTTCTGTGATCTATCTCATACTTTGTGTTACTGAACAATCTTATGACTGTATCTCAACAGCTTGAGACTGTCCTGTGTGGTAAGCTATATTCTTTCTTTTTTTTCTTTTTTTGGTAACTGGTGCACTTGCACCACTTTTATCTTTTTGTTTTGTTCCTTTCCTACTTATCCTTACTTTATATGTTTGTTAAATATTGGATTTTTTGTCTTTAATCCCTTTCACACATATACTATCTACTTCTTCAAAATTTCATCCATTTTGTTATTTCAACTACTAACACTTCCAAATCTCATATGCACTTACCTTTCACTTCAGATCTGCCTAAAAAAGATTTTTACGTATGTTCTATTCATTCTGTCTTTATACACTCTAAACCCCTTTCCTTTCTCTGTACTTCTGCCTTAAACTTTGCCATCCTAAGAAATTAAAATAATCTTCCTGAGAATCCATGCTTCTTGGTCTTTATTGAGAAAAGGCTAATTAAGCAGTAAATATTTTTACTCTTACCAGTTATATTAGTCAGGGTCCTCCAGAGAAGCAGACTCAGTAGAAGATATGTGTCTCTGTCAAAGCTGTGCCTCTGTCTAGATATGTCTGCTATATCTAGATAGATGCTGTGTCTCTAAATGAAGACCCAGAAAAGCTAGTGGTCTTAAGCCCTAACCCATGGGCAGAAGACAGCCAAGGCCTCACTCAACTGGAGCAGTGAGGCAGTCTTTTTCTACCTTTCTCCTGGTCCAGCCTCCAGCAGGTTGGATGATGCCCCGCACATTAAAGAAGGCAGGCTGCCAGTCCAAAGCATTCTTGAAAATGTTCCCAGAATAACTTTTAACCAGGTATCTGGGCATTTGGTGGCCTTGTCAAAATTAACTATGACCTGTATCACCTGTGTCACTGCTGTCCCTGCCTGAGGAGTCTGTTGATTTGGGGCCCTTCCAGTTTAAATGGCTAAACCTCTACTGAAATATTTAATACCAATTGAAAAACAATGTGTCTATTATCTTTGTAATCGTTTTTGACAAGTACCTGATTTATAACCTTACCAGTCTTTTGTTCAAGAAACAAAATTAGACCTGGGAAGCTTTTAATTTTTAATAGACTTTGGAGCAATTTACCTTGGCATCTCATCATTTATTTATAGTGTCAAACAGAAACTTTCTTACTATATTTTACCAGATGTGATCCAGAAGCATTTGAAGAGAACAGTGCCATTGTGGAAATGTTTAAAAGTTTAAGGTTTTTTAATTTTTACTTGAAAAATATTTATCTACTATCCAAAGTAATAGGAGAAAGGTAGAAAGTTTTTTTTTGGGTCCGGTCGTGGGGCCTGAACTCTGGGCCTGGGTGCTGTCCCTCAGCTCTTCACCTCAAGGCTAGCGCTCTACCACTTTTGCCACAGCGCCACTTCCGGCTTTTTTCTTTTTGCTTATGTGGTGCCGAGGAATCGAACCCAGGGCCTCAGGCAATGCAAGGCAAGCGCTCTACCACTGAGCCACTTCCCAGCCCAGGTAGAAAGTTTTTGACAAATTGATTTTATCCTTAACAACAGATTATTTTGATATCTGCCTTGATGGTACAATAAGTAAATAGGTATGCCAAAGTCTCTACGTTTTGTTTTTTTGGTTTTTCTTTAATTCTTACTTTGTTTGGTGGAACTTGAGTTTGAGAGCCTAGCTCTTGCACAGGAGATGCTCTGTTACTTGAGCTACACCACATGTCTTTGCTATCTTAGGTATTTTCTTCATGTAGGGACTTTTTTTTTGCCTTTGCCAGCTTGGGACCACAGGCTGCCTACTGGAATTATAGGCATGCACAACTATGTCCAGTTTTGTGCCTATTTTTGAAATAGAGTCTTGTTAACTTTGCCTGGGCTTGATTTGAACCATGTTACCTCCAGTGTCTGCCTGTCTTCCAAGTAGCTGGGATTACAGGTATGAAGCACTACACCTGGCCTGTGCCATACTACTTTTAAACTCTTCCAAATTCCTTTACATACTGCCATCATTCACAGTATTACCTTCCAACAACCTACCTTAACCTCTCATTGCCCCCTTTCTAGTATCTTTTCATATCAGTGGTAGTAGAATGGATGTACTGAAACCCACTTCATTTAGAGACAGCTCTGGGGAACAGGTAAATGAGTGTCCTTGGATGACTGGAGAGCTCTAAACAAGAAAAAGGGAGAAATGCACTTCTTTTGAAGTCATTGCTTTTGAAGCTTCAATTTCAACGGTTCAACTTTCATTAGTTATGTAGCTGAACATGCACTCTCAAGTATAATGTTTAGTTTTTACCCCTTTGTTTTTCACCTCCACCTCCAGGGCACAGGACTGCTGGTTTGTTGAAAGTACACATAGGAAGTGATCTTAACCATTTTCTAACATCCTAGCTCGGGGTGATACTGATTCTTACACTGATAATGATTCTTCTAGCCTCCATATTCATTACCCTTTCACTCCTGGAACTCTTATTCCTGGACTTGGCCACATTATATTTCTCTTCGTTGCTGCTTCTTTCCTATTATATCTCCATTGGGATTCTGACACTGCTATCATCTCTCATTTTCCAGTCCATCCCCAAACAAGATGACTTTTACATAGTTCTTTAATCCATACACTTATCTCACAGATGCCACTGTAATCCAAGCTATCATTTTTTTATCCAGCCTCAAATTTGATTGCATATATTATTCATACATATACTTTATACATTTATCTCCACTCACTTCTCTAGGACTCCTGTGGTCTGGCACTCGGCAGAGCAGCTTCTCAGGCTGTTTTACTCCCTACATTGGAGACTAGAAGGGTCTTTATAGTCCTTTATAATTTCTTGAAATACAGTAAACATTGATTATGATCCTGTGGATGTACAGGATAATTTTTAGTCCCTTTTTTGCATTAGTTGGATTTAAGCTTACAATTGCCATTTTCCACCACTTGAGTTATATCTTACCCCTTTTACTTTTGTTATGTTTTGAGAAAGGTCTTGAATTTATGCCTGGGCCGATCTCAACTGAGATTCTCATATTTCCCACCTATCCCACAGCACCACTGAGTCCCACTTTTTATTGGTTGAGATTAAAATCTTGCAAACTTTTCCCCCATTCTCTGGCTAGCCTTGAAACATGATCCTTCCAGGAGACAGGATTACAAATGCCACACTTAGCTAAGATAGTGACTCTTAAATGTTTCTTCAAACTTCCACATTTTTGTAGATGTACTACCAGTTTGTGCACTCATCTCTGTTCCTGAGTAGTTTTGTATGACTAGACCATTATTTATGCATTTCCTATTGATAGGCATTTCTATTATTTCCAGAGATAACAATAATTTGTAAATGTAGTTAATTACAATTATAAATTAGCAATCATAATTGTAATCTGCTTTGCAGTTACAACTTCAGTTAGGATTCAAATAAATGTCTTGCTATATATGTGTAAAAGATTTGTTGGTGTGTATATCTTGGAATAGAATTTCAGGCACAAGTGTATGCACATCTTCAAATATACTTGAAAATGTTAATAGGTTCTGTTGGCTTACACATGTAATCCTAACTATTCAGGAGGCTGGTATCTGAGGATTGCAGTTGAAAGCCAGCTTGGGGAAGAAAAGTTATTTCCAATTAGCCAGCAAAATTCCAGAAGAGGACTTGTGGTTCAAATGGATAAAAGCCAAGTGAGAATGTGAGACCTTGAGTTCAGGCACCGGTACTGGCACCACACACTTTGCTTTATACAAATTCATAATTTCACTAGTAATGGGTTTCCATTGTTCCATCCTTTATACTAAATTTTGTCTTAGGTCATTTTTCCAACCTAGTAGTGTAAAATGTTATCTAATATTTCATTAAACTTTATTATGTTGCTACTTACCAGCAGTGACTAGATAATATGTATTTATAAATGATTTACTATTATTTTTATCTAGGAATAATCCAGGAATATATAATAATAAATAATGTAGGAATAAATCAAGAATAGGTGTGTAATCCCAGAACAAGTTTGAGAACAATTCTAAATAAATGGAGGGACCATGTTCATAATGAAAAAGCATACAGTGCTTAAAATTTTACTTTTGATTAGAAATTCAGCATAATTCCAATTAAGATCCTAGTGGGATTTTTCTGGAACTTGATTACCCAGTTCTCAAATTCTGAAGAAAGTAATTTGTCCTATCGGATACCAGCACTGACAGTTAAAACTTGATATTATTGCCCCAATGATAGATAAATAGTAAATAAAGTAGAAGGAATATAGCACCCTGGCTCTGAGCCAGCCTGAGGGTGAAGATGAGTAATCTTTTTTGACAAAGTGATTGTTTTGTACCAAAATATGAGAATGACGGCTTTACTTGAATCTGTCATTGGTGTCAGGTTTAGTATTGCATATCTTTTCTTCTTTCTTCTTTTTTTTTTTTCCTTTCCTAGTTGAGCTACCAGAGATGTCCAGCAGTCTATAATAATGAGTTGCTATTATATTCCAGGAATGAGGGAGAGAAATCACTTTCAATTTATGGTGCCATTTTCTTGCATTATTTCTGTGATGGCTGCAATAGCCATACTTTCACGAATCTCAGGTCTATATGAACTTTGCATTTTCTAGAAGAATTGTGTTATCATTGTAGATGAAATTACCTTCTGATTCAGTAGCTGTAGTCAAATGTTAAGAATATAAAAGCCTCAAATGGTGGTTTTTAGCTATTTTCACTTAGAAGCATTTATATTTGACACTGGAAAAAAAAACTTAAAATTGCTTTGTAATTATTTACTCTATATAATGTTCTTTAAAGTAGACTTGGGGAACTTTGTACGCTACGACCCACTTACATGCTAAAAATAGGATGAGTCTAAAAAGTAGGCTGGCTATTAAGATTCTTCAGCAGTTGTGATTTAAAATAGTATACTAAATTTTCTTTTGAAGTTGACCAAAGTTGTTTACTCTTGATATTTACTGAAACTTTCTGAAAAATAGTCGCTTAGGAAAAAAATAACAAATATTTTGTAGATATTACAAAGTAAATTTTTTGTAATAAAAAATGCACCAAGGCTTTTCTGAGTACTGCTACATATTATAGGAGTGCAGTTGGGGCTCAAGCTGTGTTATATTGGAATCTGAACAGCAGAGTTTTCAACTATAGATCTATGATCAATTAAACATGGAGGAAAGATGAGCTAAGGAAGAGGAAGATCTAAAGGTTGTTTAACTGTTCGATTATTAGATATATATTGAAAAAAGCTTACTTATTATAGTTAGATATGTTACAGGGTAGGGATGGAAATGGTCCTTTGAGATGATTCTGTCCACTAACTCATTTAGTTGATTTTTATTCCTGTCATTGAAGATTGTCTAGAAGCATAGTCCCCGGCAGTTCCCTAGAGCTTTTGGGGGACATTGTGTCTCTCTCTGGTTTCTTCATAGCTCTGGAAAAATCAAATTCAGTCTGGGGGACTGAACTTTGCTCATCCTTCACTTATGTTAGTCACTAAGCTGAAACCTAGATTGATCAGAGGCAGGTTCTTCAGGGAAAAGAACAATAGTTGCTGAGATAAATTATTTTTTAGAAGTTTAATAAGTATTACTACCAATAAAAAATATCATTGACTTAACAGTAAAACTTAAAAAACTATTTAAAACTCTAGATAAATTTACTTTGTGCAAGTATATGATAATTATATATTAGAGGATTAAAGCTGCTCTTGAGAAAATTTGGCATCATATTCACTTTGAGTTAGTTTTGGTTTTTAATGTTGTGTTCTGATTTTCTTCCCAGATCCAAATACTTTAGAACATGCTCTAGAGGTGAGCACTTAACAATAGAGGTAAGTAGCGTAATGAATTTTATGGGATTAAAGAGAGCAGAAGGGATTTTAAGATAGAAAGGACTGCGAATGTTTAGTTTCACTAGTAATGGTTCTAATGAAGAGAAAGTGAAGTTTGCAGATTTGATTTTGGTTTATCCTACGCAGCTCAGAAGGTACTCATCTGTCAGAAATGTCTCACTTAAGGCAGTGGTTCTACAGACTCAAGGGTGGTGCCCCAGACATGAGTAGAAAGGTATAACAGAATCAAAATAGCAAATAGACTTGAAGCGTCTCGCAGAGAATGAAGTTGCTTTTTCTTTCTGTGTGAAACAATGAATATTACCATTCGCTCAGGCAGTACTGTCTGCTGTGTACCAGCCCCTTGCCATACAGTTAAGGAATGCCACCACACACAGTTTTTGCTACAGCTCAAACAGGTGGGTGTTACCTGTTATATAGATGGAAAGCTAGAGGCTTAGACAAGTGAAGAAATTGAGCTATGCAATACATACCTTAAGTGACAGAAGTTAGTTCTGTTCCAGAACTACCTGGATATAAATATTGAATGCTACTTCACTGATTTCCATATTAAATGAGGAAACGTGAACTAAGAATTAGTTCTTGTTTTTAAATCACAAACTAATAAAAAAGTTAATTTTGAATAGCTTTATTATTCCCTTAAATCTAAATTTTGAGTTCATTGTTTTCCCATAATCTTTTTTTGGGGGGAAAGGGGGGTCCGGTGGTGGGGCCTGAATTCTGGGCCTGGGCGCTATCCCTCAACTCTTCAGCTCAAGGCTAGCGCTCTACCACTTGAGCCACAGTGCCACTTCCGGCTTTTTTTCTTTTTGCTTATGTGGTGCTAAGGAATTGAACCCAGGGCCTCATGCATGCAAGGCAAGCGCTCTACCACTGAGCCACTTTCCCAGCCCTTCCCATAATCTTTAAGCAAAACAATATTTGCAATAAAACAGTTTTTCTTCTTTTAAGTGTTACTTATCCATATTTGTATATGTACAAGGCAAATATTTTAATAGTAATGAGTCCCAGCAAGTCATTTGATATAATAGTGTTTATCATTCTGTAATAAATTATTTGCATTCCTGTCTCTAGAAAGGCATTTTGTTTGGGAACAATGACTACCCTCTCTTAGATGTCTTTTTAGCCCTTATTTCTTAAATATTTTTCTTTTTATGACATAAAATAATTTGTTCATCTGAAGATTATTCTGGTAGTGTGGGTTTAAAATACCTAATGAAATATTCAATCCAGGTGAAAATTTCTGATACAATTTCTGCTGTAATTATGTTTTTTATTTAAATCATAAATACAAATAGTGTGTATTTACCTTGACTATTTTATAGGACTGTTGAATATATCAGATGTGCTGATACATATAAAGTAGTTGTCTTAAGTATCTTTTACACATAAAAATAAGTTATTCTTAACATGAAAAAGTAACAATTTCTTGTGAGATGTATCTTAGACAAATATGCCTTCTAACACTTAGCTTTCTTCTTCTTTCAGTTTGAGAATCTAGTAGAAAGTGATGAAGTAAGTATTTCCATAATACAGAATTCATTTATGGTTAATGATTGCATTTGTTCTAACCATTACTTTTATTTTTTAAAATTGTTTTGAAAATTTTACGTTTACTTTTTCATCTCTTCTGTATCTATCATTTTGTATTAGCAAGAATACAGTTTTCCAATATATACTGTGCATACACACATACATATGCACACAAAAGTTTTTTAATTCTCTAGAATTGAATTTCAAATAGGGATTTTCTAATCTCTTTCCCTCAGGAACAATCCAGTATGGAACCTTTCTGAGGAAGAAATTATGGCTCATTGTACAATCAATTTCTAATTTAACCCGACTTTGTGTATCTCAGCTTTCATCTAAAACTTAGTCAACTGTAAGATTAATAAGTACACTTTAGACTTGGTGAAGTGTATATATTATGACAGGCATAGTTAGGAGAGCTTTAGTTTGTATGCTGTTTCCATTTACCTTAAACTAATTGTGTGAGTTGATGCAAATGTCTTACCATCCTGGGGGCCTTCTTTGCACATCTCTAGAATTAGACTAGCTAAAAGCTCAAGCTTCTTTTTTGCCTTTTCCCTTAGAAATAAGAGGAAATATATAAAACCTTTTTTTTATAAAAGTTGAATTATTTTTTTTGGGGGGGGTTCCGGTCGTGGGGCCTGAACTCTGGGCCTGGGCAGTGTCCCTCAGCTCTTCAGCTCAAGGCTAGAGCTCTACCACTTGAGCCACAGTGCCACTTCCAGCTTTTTTCTTTTTGCTTATGTGGTGCTAAGAATTGAACCCAGGGCCTCATGCATGCAAGGCAAGCGCTCTACCACTGAGCCACCTTCCCAACCCAAAAGTTGAATTATTTTCAAATTCACCATTTCCTATAATATGTATAGAATACTAGTGTGAGAGTATAAATTAGCATATTAAAAGATCTAAGAAAAGTTGTTATAAAACAACAATCAAAACCAAAGTTTTTGTTTTGTTTTTGGAGCCATTACTGGGACTTAAACTTAGGGTCTTGTGTTTTTACTTGGCTTTTTCAAGACTGGTGCTATACCACTTAAGCCACAGCTCCAGTTCTGGCTTTTTTCTGGTTACCTGGAAATAAGAGTCTTATAGAATTTTTTGCCCAGGCAAGCTTTGAACCTTGATTCTCAGTATCAGAGATTACCGGCATGAGCCACCAATGCCACCTTGCAAACAAACATTTTTAAACCTGCTCAGTTCAGCATTTCTCAAATAAATTTAGGTATAAATTCTTTTTTTAAAATAATATATATTTGTGGCCAGTTGTGATGTATATGCCTGTAAAATCAAGACCAGAAGGTAAACACTGGAGGAAAGTCAGTTAAAATCCAGGCTGGGCTACATGGAGAGATTGAGGTCAGCCTAGCCTACAAAACAACAATCTGTCTCAAAAAAAAAAAAAAATCCTGAATCAGAACAGTGTCATCGTTTAGGAAATTCTTTTTTTCTATAATTTTTAATTTTTAAAATGTTTTATAAAAGTTTTACACATAGCCTTAAAGATAAACACAAAATTTACCAGTTTACAAATTAAAAAAAAAAAAAAACAGACCAAAACCCACAACAAACTCAAGCACCCACTCTGTGCATAGGACAATGCTAGGTGCGATAAAAGGGAATCTTAGCCTTAGAAATTCTTGACCTTTTGTTTTCCCATCAAAGCAACAGCCATAGTTTTATAAATCACAAGTTTCCTTCTCTTCCTCAAGGTCACTTCCATCGCCATGTCATTTGTTTTATGAGCTTTGTAAATACACATTGGAAACAACGGTTTCAAAGCTGACAGCATCATAATGTATCTTGACATGTTGCTTCTCAGAAGAACTTGTGGTCTTCAAGTGTTTTCCTAGTCTATCACTTATTTCGTGGTTGAAGACCTAATGACAGTTTGGTCTTGTTTTTACCAACCAGTCTTTCCTATCTTGTACATTTTGTGTTATATCAGTGTCATTCTATTTTTTTTGAGCTATTTTCTAAATTGACCATTAGCATTTTATTCCTGTGGTTAACTTAGTTATACATTTTTAATTCAGACCTGAACAGTTTAAATGTTTATAAGTGCAAATTAGTTTGTAATTTTGTAGCACTTTGAAAGAAAACTAAAACAATCAATTACCGTTATTTGCTGTGATTATGTTCCTTAAAGTGTCCATGAGTGCTAAATTAGTGAATACTTTGTCATAGGGAAAATAAAATTCTTGAAGCTCTGGTTATATTGTCATTTCCCAACTATTATATAATTATATTTTATGTGTATTTTTTGCTTTAAAAACTATATTTAACATACATTGTTGATTTATTAAATGGACTTGCTGCCACCAGCACTAACTCTGCCTAAATGAGTTTATCTGACATATTTTGTCTGTAAGGCACATCACACCTCCTATACTTCAGGAATAGACAGCCAGACAGCCCCTAAGCACTACATTTAAGGATCATTTTCGACAGTGAAACCAGGAGCAATTAAATGACAAAAAAAAAGCAAGAAATGTGGCACTAGATATAAATGTCACCTATTCATTATGATAGTTGAGAAAAGACAATGTGACACTTGTTTTACCTCAGCTGGGAATGTACATTGTTAAAAGTGTACAACTTATAGGTTGCTCAAATGACCAAGAAAGTGTAGGAATATTGACTTGGAGATTACAAATATATTTTCACAAGAGGTGGCTTTACAGATGGGAAATGTGACTAACAAGAATCCGCTGTAAGTGGTGAGGGCATAGGGAATATGCTGTCCTACTACAGCTTGCCTGTACAAGTTCATCTGCTGTTCATTGTTACGCATTGGTTAGAAAGAAAGCTAACAAATATTCAGCAAAGAGTTGTTAGCTAATTCAGGTAATAGTAAACTACTGTCTTCCTTTGGAAAAATAGTACAGTTTTAAAGGATTTTTTTTTGTTTCAAGTATTTTTAATGTGAAATTTGTTTATAGTGACAAAAAAATTGGTAAGTAAACAATCAGATAAAATGTAAATTCTAATACCTTGCCTTAAATAGAATGCTGCTCTTGAAAATTCTTTAATTGTTTAATTAATTTTTGTACAGGGGGAGAGCCCAGGAAGCAGTCATAGGTAAGGCTTCTAAAAGAACAACAGAAAATTTACCAAAAAATGATGTAGAAGAAGCTACTAAGAATTAGTATTTGCTTACTTTGAGTCATTAAACAGTTTGTTTCTGAACCTTTTCTCTTTCTATAAAACTGAGGTAAATAATACATTTCTCCGATAGTTTTGAACATTTAAAAATGTATAAGAATGCCTTCATATTGTAAATAATTTTTCATTTTATTAATATTATTGATAAATACATTTCCTTTTAGTTTAATTTTAACCCATTCCTTTTTTTATATGCTTCTTTGTGATATACTAATCAAAAGATTTTTAGAACTTCAAAAGTAACTATAACAAATCTGAGCACCAATGACTCAGGATTGTAATTCTCAGCTACTCGGGAAGCTCAGTGCTTCTGGAATATCTCAGTTTGAGGCTAACCTTAGCAGAAAAGTTTACTAAAAAAATTTACTAAAGTCTCTGTTTAAAGTACCATCAAATAGGGCTGGGAAGGTGGCTCAGTGGTAGAGCGCTTGCCTTGCATGCATGAGGCCCTGTGTTCAATTCCTCAGCACCACATAAGCAGAAAAATAAAAAAGCCAGAAGTGGCGCTGTGGCTCAAGTGGTAGAGCGCTAGCCCAGCATTCAGGCCAAGTTCAGGCCCCACGACCGGACCCCCCCCCCCAAAAAAATACCATCAAAAAAGCTAAAGCAGTAGAGCACCAGCTTAGCAAGTACAAGGCCTTAACTTTAAACCCCAGAACCACCAAAACAAAATAAAAGCTAGTAATATCAAAAGAATAGTTTCATACGTTTCATATTTTGAGCATATAGTCTTAAAATTATTTATCAAGCAATTCCCCTGTGCTAGCTCTTGTGCTAGATACTGAGACTAAAAAAAAACAGACTTGTACCAGTAGGGTGGGTACCAGTAGGGTGGAGGTTTATTCAAGACCATCCTGGGCAAGTCAGACTTTTCTCAGAATATAGCTCATTGGTAGAGTGCTTACTGTGCATGCTTGAGACTTTGGGCTTGAGGCCATGAATTTGATTCCTAACACCACAAAAATAAACATGGTCTTTACACAAGTAGAAAGAACAGCCTATTCTGGAAGATAGATCCTGGAGATGAGAGTTTAAGGTAGGAAAAGCAAAAGAATAGCAGTTACAGAGCATCCTAGGAAATGCTAGCAGTTCTATGCCGAAAGTGAATGTTGAGGTGTGTCATACCTGGGGTGATCCCTGAAGAATTGATTAGGCATGGAACATTCCAAACAGAAGGAGTAGCATATGCAAAGTGACAGGAGAGCAAAGAAACTACCTAGAATGATAGAAATATTCCATATTTTGCTTTGAGTTGAGATTGTTTAAATATATATAATTGCCAAAACTTAATGAAGTGAATATTTAAAATTGTTGCTTTGATTTTTTTTGGGGGGGGGGCAGGGCCCAGGTTGACTTCAGAGTGAGTTACAGCTTAGTCTGGTTTTGAATACACAATCTTTCTGCCTCAGCTTCCTAAGAGCTAATATTACAGGCACATTACCATCATGCCCAGCATCATTTTAAATTATACAAAAAAAAAAAAAACCTCAAATCTGAGCCAGAAGTTTGAGAGGAAAACAAAAGTAGGAAACATTGCTTTGTATACGGCTAGTTAACCATAGTTAACCATAGTAATTACCACTATCAACTATGTTGATGTAACTAAGTAGTAAAGCAGTGGTAAAATAGCTGAGCATGCTACTAGGCCCTGAGTATGATCTGTGCTACCATGGAAAAACAACAACAAACATGTCCAGGTCCAGCACTGGGGAGAGATGGAAGTAAAAGTAGTTGGAATGTGGTATGAGAATTGAATAGACAGACAACAAATCCTCTGAAAATGGCCAAGATGTAGTAGATGAAAGAGCCAGGAGAGTTTGCTAAGGGAACAAATGAGAATGCAGGGGAAAACAGCTGGATGGGCACTGGAGGGACTGATCAACTGTGTCCCATGAAACGGAGGTAATATAGACTTGAAATTGTTTGCTGTATTTGATAACATAAAAGCTGTTGATGAATTGCAGGAAACTGGACTGAAAGAGAAAAAAAGAAAGTCAGATGAAAGTGTGTCTTCATTTCTTCTCTCCTTTTTTCACATAGAAGGGAGATGAAAACAGACAAAAGAAGTGTTCACTAATGGAGCAAGAACTCTGTAGTTAAGAGTTGAGTGGCATTAGTAATGAGTACATCCAGAGTTAGTGCAATGTCAGGCAGGTTAAAGTACACTACCTCTCTAGACGTTGGAGAGAATAATAGAGTATACATAAATAAGTGAGAGGATACAAGTGAGGTGAAATGATCTTTTCAGTAGTAAAAAATAGAAAAATAATAAACAAGTTTGTGAAGACTTAGTACAGGATATGAGAGGGACTTCATGTAGGTATAAGGACAATTGCTATGGGCTGACAGACAGATGATAATGGGTTTTCTCCAGCACCCCACAGCAGAAAGGGCTACCCATGAAACTGATCCAGAGCCAGAGGTCAATAAACTGTCGAATATGGTCACGTGGTAGGGGTCCAGGAAGAAGAGTATTGGTGAGAAAATACTTCAGACAAATGATAAGGCTCACATGTAAAGAAATCGTCTCCCTCCCTACTGGAAGGGAGAGAGATCAAGGGCTTCAGGAGGCCAGTGATTGAACAGGATAATACAAGGGTTAAGAAATCAGGATGTGTAAGTTTTATATTTCATGGTGGATATTTTGGGGTATAGTTCAAACTGTAGGTTTGATGGCTTGAGTAGGACTTATATAGAAGGTAAGTGAAGTTCACATTTCTTTTAAAAAGTGGCTATAGTGCTAAATAATAATAGTATTGTATTCTCTTGTTCATCTGATATACTCCAGTATAGTAAGTATAGTATTCAAATGTAGACTTTTTAACTCTTAAGTTGTAGTATTAGGTTGTTTTAATACATTTTTAATAGTAAGATTTCAGAATTTCTCTGACTTTCCAAGTGTTTTGTTTGGATTCTGTTTTATCACTTTTTTTTTTCTATGTTCCCTCCTGTTTTTCTCTAGGCCTCTTACTGAGGAAGAAATTGTTGATCTGCGAGAGAGGCATTATGATTCCATTGCTGAAAAGCAGAGAGATCTTGATAAGAAAATCCAAAAGGAGGTACATAATCTTGTTATCATAAAGCCTAATTAATAGGAGAGAGTTTTCATTAAATAATACATGACATAAAGTCATTGGACCTATATTTATATATATAAGTAATTTCAAAGTAAAAACTATATTCCAGCCTATTAAAATTTTTTAGTTTGATTTCATTTATCAGAGACCATTTGATGCCAAATGTATCTTTGTGTTTAAAATCAACTTTAATTTGTTAAACTGTTTCACAATAAGTAGTGTTTAAGTTTCTGTTTTTGTCTTGGGTTTATTTGTTTTCAGTAATCCAAGTACTTTTAACAAATCACAAGAGCCATACTTATGTAATGTATTTTTAGAAATAGCCTGTAATTATAGTTTTGCTAACACTAAACTAAATAGAATCAATACATAAAAAACAGTTTATTGAGCAGGCTGATCTGGCTGTAGTAGTATTTGCCTATAATCTAGCACTTGGGTGATAGAAGCAGGAAGATTCCAAGTTCAAGGCCAGTCTGGGGTACTTACCAAGTTGAAGGGCAGCCTGAGCTATGTAGTGATTAGTACTTAGTTTCAAATAAAATAGTGCATGGTTTATATGGGTAGTGTACTAGCTGAGCAAGCAAGCCAAGCAGGAGTGAAGCCCTGAATTCAAACCCCAGTACCACCAAACATGATGATGATGATATTAATAAGAAGAACTGGGTGTTGTAGATCAGTGATAGAAAGCTTACCTTACCTGGTATGTATAAGGCCATGGGTTTAATCTCTAGGACTGCACAGAAAGACAGTTTGGTACCAGTTAGGATTTCAAATACATTAAGTTATACAATAGAAGCTGTTATTATCTAAACTAAAAAATGAGCTGATACTTGTTTTTTCTTAATTTAGATGTAATATGAAATACCTACCACTAAGGCAGGTATATATGCTGTTTTGAATGTCAAGATGTTAAAGTAGAAAGTAATTTTTGAGGGCAGGGGGAGGATGGGAAGGGATGGGAAAGGGAAACAAAGGAGGAGACTACAATGCTTGATAAGAAATGTACTCATTATCTTGCCCATGTAATTGTAACCCCTCTGTACAGTATTTTCACAATAAAAAAAAGAAAGTAATTTTTGAGTGTTTAATAGAAAATGAAGGAGACATATGGGGCATCAAAGTCACTTGAATGAGAGAGGGAGACTTGTGAACACTTAGTTCACCTGGTAGACAATGTAATTGGCCTTAACATTAAGGACCTTCCATAAGAAAGGGCAAAATCATGGAAGAGGGTAATAGATGTTGGAATGATCATTGGAAATGAAGATTATTGCACTTCAAGAGAAATAAGCTTGTGTTGTTACAAATTAGATGCTATTGTTTTACCACTGACTTTCTAAAGAATTCTGTAACGTCTCATAGAATCTCAGTTATGAAATGAAATGGGCAATCATGAAAATATCCATTCTGAAATGCTTTGTAGAAATCAATTATTTTTAATGATTTATTTTTCTTTTGTAAATCAAAACATTTTGTTTGTAGAGCAGTCAGACAGGTTCTGATTTTTGTTAATCCTTATCGTTTTGTTCATGCACAGTTAGCCTTACAAGAAGAGAAGTTAAGACTAGAAGAGGAAGCTTCATACGCTGCACAGCGTGAAGCAGCCAGGGCAGCAAAGCAGCGAAAGCTCTTGGAGGTGAGGGGAAAAGACCCCAACACACACTAGAGTTGCTTTTCTCCTTATTTTCTCTGACAAATCCAAGTTGGGACTTTTTCCCCCTTAGAATCACTGGCCTCTTCTTTATCAACATGTATTTATGCATAAATTCTTAGGTCAGTCAGTCTTGAACTGCTTGTAATCACTTAAAAGTACATGCTTGAAACTGAATGCTGTTTGATGGTTTCAGTTAGCAGAGCTCATTTTTGCTTATCCTAAAGTGACTTTTAATGCTTCAAATTGCAGTATTCTTTTGGAAAAAAATAATTGTGCTTTTAGAGGGAAAACTTTTCAAAACTAGTCTTGAAATATAATTTAAATAATTCTTTTTTTTTTTTTTTTGCTTATGTGGTGCTGAGGAATCGAACCCAGGGCCTCATGCATGCAAGGCAAGCGCTCTGCCACTGAGCCACCTTCCCAGCCCCTAATTTAAATAATTCTTGAACTGCTAGAATTTCTTTTAGAATCAGATAAGCTATAATGTTTTCGCTTCATAGGGATACTGTTTCCTTTTATCTTTACTGCCTTGCCTTTGGGAGATTGAGACTGAGGTCTTGAGAAGTTTTTGGCTTATTTTCAGGAAGGGCATCAGATTTACAGTATCTTACCATGCTGTATGGGAATATGTCATAATGCAGTGCCTGGAGATTGTAAATAACAGATACTTAACAAGCACTGGCTAAGTGTCACAAACTGAAGTATTTCATTTGTGTTTAATTCTCACAGCATCTTAGGAGAAATGTGATATTTTCAATCCCTGTTTAATTGATGGGAAGGAAACTTAAGGAACAGATAGTTAAGTAACTTTCTTGAGAACCTACAGCTAATGCAGGTAGAGCCAAAGTTTAGGCTCAAGAGGGCCTAGTCACTGTTCTGCTTAGTATTTTCTTCTATATCTTAATTGTGTGGACTTAATACTTTAGTTAAAGTAGTATAAAATCATGTCACATCCTAAAACTTAGAGGTTCTGAAAAATCATTTTTCACACTGTCATATAGTTTTTGTGTGTACTGTGTCTTCTCTGTCTCACTTTCTTTTTTTGTGGAAATAGAGGGCTTCAGATGAAATTATATAAGAAAATATTTCATTAAATTTTTAGTATATTCTAAAAGAGTAAAAAAGTTAAAATGACATTATGCTTTCTGTGAAACTAAAGTATTTTGAGGGCATCTTATAGGCACTTGTTTTATAATCCCTATGTGTCTGGAAGAACTAAAAGCATTCTATATACCATCTATTTGAATGATTTTCTAAGTTGAGTTTTCCTCTACTTAGTAAATGCTTCCCATAGAAACACATATTCTATACAACATAAACTAACACACCAACATACAAACAAGTACCAGTTAATTTGCTTTTCATAGAAACACAATCTGCTAGGTAGTAATATAGCCATCTGCAATTTATAGATGAAGAAGCAGAAGAAAAAGGCCATATGATGAGGATACACACTAGTGATTCAAAGCCACAACTTCAATAGGGCTTCCTATCTGAATCTCACATAATGAGTGGACTTTACTAGATCTGAGCCACCTCAGTCCCTGGCCTTATGAATCCATTGTTTATCACTAGTTATTTCACACAGAATGGAACTCTTTTCTCATGCTAATCCATTACTCCAAGTACAGAGGGAAATTGATTGTTTAAAAGCTTTTTTATGAAGATTCCATAATACTATGAAAGTTCTAAGCACTTAAGGACTACACACGGATGATCTGAGAAAAATTCTACCCATAAGTAAGGATATAGAATTGAGTAGTGATAAATTAAGGAAAAAGACTTCTACAGAATAACTTTAAATTTTTGTTTCTAGAAACTAGAAAAACAATACTTGCTGGCATTGCATGAGTGGTTTTTAAAAATATGATTTTGCAGCAGAGTGATTTTGTATTAAATTGTGTTTCCAAAGCAAGAAAGGCAGAGAGTGATGCGATACCATCCTCCCAGCAACGGAGACTGTCAGAGGTAAAGAATGATTTTTCTTGTCCTTTTTATTTGTGATAGGAAATACTCTTTCCAAGGAGACGACTTCTCACTGTAGCATGTTTATAAATGTATTCATGTTTGCTTATTCCTAAAATTAACTGCTTCTCTAGAGCTGGAAGTGTAGGGCAGTGGTAAAGTATGTGCTTAGTATGAGGTCCTGGGTTTGATCCCCAGATCAAAACATATATAACATTGTTTCTCTTAAGATAATGTTTGGAGCTGGATGCTGGTGGCTCATGCCTGTAATCCTAGCTATTCATGAGGCTGAGATCTGAGACTTGAGGTTCAAAGCCAGCCTGGGCAGCAAAATCTGTGAGACTCTTATCTCCAATTAACCACCAGAAAACTGGAAGTGGCACTGTGGCTCAAGTGTAGAGTGCTCACCTGGAGCTGAAGAGCTGAGGGACAGCGCCCAGGCCCAGAGTTTAGGCCCATGACCGGACCCAAAAAAAAAAAAAAGAAAGAAAATGTAGATTATTTTCATTAGAGTATTCTCCTTGTATTGCTGAAATACATTTGGGAAATTGGCCTTAAAAACCAAAGCATCCTCACTTAGTACCCATTCTGTTGCATCTACTAAAGTTCACTTCCTCTTATTTGCAGTTCAGGACCAGAAGATGACTTTGAATCTTGTTTGAGAAATATAAAGTCACAGTATGAAGTTTTTCGAAGCAGTAGTAAGTCTTCTAAAATATTCTCTGGACATTTTCAGTTTTTTTATGCCACATTAAGCAGGTAATTGGGAGATACTGGCTCTTTTTACCCTTAAGTTTATATTGCTAGATAATTTGTTACTTACTGGTTGCTAATTGCATTCTACCTCTTCTTTATTTTTGCTGGTCTTAGAATAGAGCTCATGGCCTGGATGCTGTCCTTGGGGTTTTTTTTTGGTTTTTTGGGGTTTTTTTCACTCAAAGATAGTGCTCTATCTCTTGAGGCACAGCCTCACTTTTTGGTGGTTAAGTGGAGATAACAGTCTCTCAGATTTATCTGCCTGAGCTGGCTTTGAACTGTGATCCTCAAATCTCAGCCTCCTGAGTAGCTAGGATTACAGGTGTAAGCCACCAGCACCCAGCTTCATCTTTCCTTTTTCAAAAGGAGTTGGAGTAGAGCAAAATCTCAGGCTATTCTGTGTATCAACATAGGGAGTCCAAGTACTTCTTTTACAATTTTTACTCCTTTACAAATTGATCTACAAAATTAATTAAGATTAAAATGATTATTTCAAAAGTCAAAACCTTTATATGTATATGGGGTCCTTTTGAAAGTAGGCTGCCTTTTTTATGTATTTTATCTTTTAGTTTTGTTTCTTGTGTTCCTTTATGATTAACTATTAGAAACATCTTGAGTTCATCTTATTTGAAAAGCTTATAGTAATTTAATTTGTGTGATGGTTTGTTTAGATAGCCAAAAAAACGAAAGATGTCCAACTTTGTAGTAGATATTTAAACAGTGAGAACAATTCCAACAATGGTTTCTTTTGAAGATTAAAATAATAGTAATGTTGAGAGAGACATCATTGCAAAAGAAAATGACTTGTGGTAAAAGAGCACAGGTAACAACATTTGATTGTGTTGGGTGTATATTTTAGGGCTCTCATCAGATGCCACAGTATTGACACCAAATACAGAAAGTAGCTGTGACTTAATGACCAAAACTAAATCAACTAGTGGGAACGATGACAGCACATCCTTGGATCTAGAGTGGGAAGATGAAGAAGGTATTTTCTAATTCACAATCTTACTGAGAGGTTAAGTTTATTCTGTGTTGATTCATATAAATCTTCTTACTCTATTTTACATCCTTTAAACTGAATGATGCAATGCCTTGAAAAAGAGTATATTTATGAAGTTGGTCAGTTTTCATGTTTCTTGAGATTGGGGAAAAAAATGTTCATTTCTGTAAGCTTTACTCTAGTCCATGAAATTACCTGGATACAAAGTAAAATATTAGTGCCCCTTGTGGGACTTTAAAAGCAAAAATAAGTTAGCTTTTGGTTTACTCCAAATTAGATATCTAATTGTTTCTTTGGTACAACAAAAGCTGTTGCTCAGGTATGAATTTCATTTTTGCCTTGCATTTCTTCCAAGCTACAGTATTTTATTTAATCTCAGCCACAGTTTGTCTATTGTAAACAGGGGAGAATAATCCTACCCTAAGGGAATTTTTTAATTTAAAAATCTAAAAATTGCTTAGCACATAGGCAATCATGAAGTATTTGAGTAGAGCTGGGAATATAGCTTGGTGATAGAGAACTTGCTAGTGTGCAAGAGACCCTAGGCTTGCTCTTTAGCACTGCAGAAAACAAAAGAAGGAAGAGGGAAAGAAAGAGATAAGTACTTGAAAAACAAATGAATATTTTGCAGATTAAATACATGAAACAGTATGGGCTATGACACATACATTGAGTACTCAGAATTGTAGCTCCAATATTGTTTTATTTTGTTAAGCTGTCTCATTGAATAAGCCTAAGTTTTAATGTCATGTTAAGAAATAGGCAATCTAAGAAAGACTCAAGTATAAAATACAGAACTTTAAGAAAAATAAGTATATCATAGAATTTTGAGTTGGAATAGACCTTAAGTAGTCTCTATTCTTGCTCGTTTGTTTTGTCAGTAATATAACAGACACAGAAAACTTGAATAACTTTATCAAAAATTACATTAATTATCCTCGATCTTCTCAGTTAAATACCATTCCCCAGTCCTGTACTTCCGTTTGTGCATGTTTGGATCCAGTCGTCAGAGTTGAACCTTATCCTCATGCTAGGATCTTGTGCAAATCTTCTGTAATCACTGCTTTTCTCATCCATATTGCATGCTACATATTTATAGGTAATATGACTTCCTAGACTGTTAGTCAAGTTATTAGCAGAATCCATAGAGGACAGAGTCCTCTACCTAGTAGAAATTTGCTGATTGGATTATGTGCAATCCAGCTTCCTTTAGACATAAATCCACAGAATTTTACTATCTGGCTGATACCTTTATATTGTCTCTTATCTAAAAAAATTTGCTTTTCTGGGTTGAATCTTTGTAATTAATTTTTCAAGAGTAACAGAAACCAGTAATCCAGGCATTTGGGGTTTTTTTTGTTGTGGTTGTTTACTGTGGTATTCGATTCATTAGGATGAGGAAAAAAAGTCATTGATTATATAATTACTCTCACAATCTCTTTGGCAATCCTAGATTTTAGTAATTTTGATAATAAGCCAAAATCAAATCTTTTTTTTTATTGTGAAAATACCATATAGAGGGGTTACAATTACATGGGCAAGATAATGAGTACATTTCTTATCAATCATTGTTGCCTCCTCCTTTGTTTCCCCTTCCCATCCCTTCCCATCTCCCACCCTTCCACCCCTCCCACCCCCATCCCTGGCCAAAGTTGTAAAGTTCGTTTTTCGACATAATGACTTGTGCATCTCATTGTTGCAATGGGTCTGCCTGTATCCCTATTTAAATGACCAAATCAAATCTTATAAATTGAAATTATAAATGGAAACTTCTCTCCCCTCCTTCTTCTAATATAATGACATTGTTTTGTTTTTTCTTCCAAGATTTTGGACACTCTTACTTCTTGCCAATTATTTCTCCTCAAAATTAGACCCAGAGCAGTTTCTTCTAGAAATATCTGTGCTGTTGTAGTAGTTAGAATACTAGAGAACACAAAATTTGGAATAAGACAGACAATTCAAATTGATTCAGGGCTCAGGTGTTAGTCAGAAGAGACTTGCTAAGCATGCACAAAGCCCTACATTCCATCTCTAGCATTGAAAATAAATTTCTACTCCACCACTTTGTAGCTATGTGACCATATATAAATCACTTAACCTTTCTTCCCCAGTTTCCTTATCTTTAAAATGGAGTCGATTCTAGTACTGTATTTAACTTCACAGCATTGTCAAGGACCTAATGGATATATTGGAAGTGCATGCAATAGTGATAGGAACCAGGAAGTGTGGGGCAAGTGTGTGCTTTTGTCACTATCATTGTAGTGGTTGTCATTCTTTGGGGAATGCAGTTGTTATATAGGTAGGAAAGGACCCCGGCAGAGACATTGACTTAGCCATGTAAGACTAAAAGCAGTTGACGACTAACATCCATTCTATTTGATTTGTGACTCCAGAAATTTCATCTTCAGATGATCGATTTTGCATCAGAACTGCCCTTTGGTGAGCGTTAGTTTCTGAGCTAAAGCATCCATCAGCATTAGACTCTACAACTTTTCCTTCAGAAGGCCTCCCCAGACCTGACTCTTTAATTCACAAATCAAACCCAGTAAAACAATAGCAATAACAATAATATAAATGGGCAAATTTTTAACAGAGCTTTTTGTCTTTGATTCTTATTTTCTTTTTTAATATGTTTTTTATTGCATAAACACTATACAGGGGGGTTATTGATGCTTATTTTCTTAAACACTTTGTTCAAATTGTAGGAATGAATAGAATGCTTCCAATGAGAGAACGTACCCGAACAGAGGAAGACATTCTCCGAGCTGCACTCAAGTATAGCAGCAAAAAGACTGGAAGCAATCCTACATCAGCCTCTGACGATTCCAACGGACTAGAGTGGGAGAATGACTTTGTTAGTGCCGAAATGGATGATAATGGCAATTCTGAGTATTCTGGATTTGTGAATCCTGTATTGGAACTGTCTGATTCCGGCATAAAACAGTCAGATGCAGATCAGCAGATTCGATAGGATAAAATTATATGATCCTATTTATGTTATGACCAAATGTTAAAAACCATCTGGAATGTATAAATGGTGTGCTCAGCCTTGTAAGGCAGAAGTACGAAACCATGTTGTACATGCTTATTTTATTAGAGAAGAATAGGGATGATAAGATAGACCTGAAATGCTTCAGAATTAAGTGCAATTTTATCATCTGCCTTCTGCTTTTCAAGACCAGTTTAATGGGTCTGTCATGTTATTAATTAAATTAATTTTAACTCTTTATAGCACTACTGGTTTACTCTTGTATATTTACATATTTTAAAATCTTCATTAATTTTGTTTTGAATGTTTTACTGCTGAGCCTATATCATTATTTTATAACTATGAAAATGTTAAAAAGTACTTTTGGTTAATTCTCAAATATGACAGGGGCACAGGATAGCTAGTCAAGTTCTTAGATTAATCTTCCCTTTTCCTGCTTTATTCACTTCTGTGACTTCTTTGTGTTTTGTTATATAATAGCACAGTTAATCTGGATAAACAAAGAAATGCTCAAGTATCAGTTTCTTTCCATGCCTGTTACTTAATCCCAGTGTGAAGATGTTGATTCAGTCTTACCAAAAGATAATATAAAACAAGCTCTCAGACTAAACGTTGTAACTGGGTGGTGATGACAAATAATATTTGAAAATATATGGATTTAGGTTTTTCTTTTTACATGCCACTATATTGACTTTTAATTGATTTCTTAAGTTTTTAGCTGTCATTATTTTAAGTTATATACTTCCAGTGAATGATCTTAGATTTTATACAGAACATATCTGAATGATTTAAGAAAGGAAAACGTTAAAAGGTAATACGGGTATTTAAAAATAAAATCCTTTCTGGTATGAAAGGTTCCATTGATTTTATTACGTTTTCCTTTGCCTCGTAGTACAAGGTGCTTTCCTGGGATGGAATTAAGTATGTCTGTCTGTCTGTGTGTGTGTGTGTGTGTGTATATATATATATATAAACTGCATTTTGTGATGGACAGTTAACTTTCTTAGAGTTTATGTATCAGTATAAAAGCCCAAGCCTGTAAAGCTTTCCTTGATTTAGCCAAGAATTGAGTGTGATTTTTAGCAAGCAAACTGTTCAGGGGTTTTCCTTAGTATCTTTCTTTCCTTCTCTTGCAACAATGACAGTGCATGTTCTCAAACCATAGGAAGGTCCAGATCTAATAGCAACTTCAAGTTCGTGCTATATTTAGGAAAAATCATGTGGCCCTTTCACTATTTGAACTGCTAGGCAATGACAACTATAGGTTTTTTGTCCATTTTAAATTTCATATAATCAAAAACAACACTTCAGTATGTAAATATGACACATTAGGTAATGCTGTTATTTATATCTGTCTTAACCTAATTTAAATTGTTGCTATGTCATTGGAAATATTCTAAAGGTACTCTATTCAAATTGCCTGTGTTACTGCTTTGTAAGGTTTATATACATCAGATGTATATTTTTGGTTTGGCATAAGTTACTCTTGTAATATTTCTTGGCTTTTTGTTCATAAGGAATTTTCTGAAGGAATGGTAACTTCTCAAGGATTGTGAATAAATACATTTTTACATTTAAAAGATATACATTGTTTGATAATAGAGATGCAGATACCATGATTCCTGACTTTACACTTATTAAATCTTACAAGTGAATAAGGAAAGAAAGATGGAACTGAGCCTGAAAGTGTGTTTTAACTACTAAGAAAAAGATTAATGTTTTGTCTTATGTTTATTTTAAAAAATAGACATTTTTTAGTGTTCATCAAACACTAGAAAATTGGCTTGATAAAGTAAAGTGTTGGGGACTCTAGCGGTAAAGAATACAGTATCTGCTTTTTACTTACCATTGTAATGAGAGACATAGTAAATAATAAAATCACAGGTATGACAGGCAAAGGTGACTGGGGCCAAGTGACTACTCTTGATAGATCATGAGGATCCCCTCCAAGGAGATATTCAAGCGGATGCCTAATTATCAGGCAGGAACTAGCCAGGTTTAAAAATAAATGGGGGCAGAGGATGAGGGCAGAGATTGTAAGCAAAGATCTTGCTGCAATTACAAAGCTCCTGAAGAGGGGAAGAATCAGGTATGTTTGGAGAATACAATACCTCTGACCAAGGCATCATGATGAATGGGGAGTCACACAATACCATACTGGGAGGGGTCAGGTCAGTTTATGGGAAGCCATGTAGCATGTTTTAAGAGTGAATTTTATTTGATGCACTAGGCCCTGCAAGTTAGGATAGTAGTGACCAGATTTGCATTTTCAAAAGAATTGCTCTAACTTCAAAAGGAGATTGTATTCAAAGGGCCTAAGAGTAGATGTAGAGTACTCCCAATGTGACACATATGGCTCACATCCAAAATGGCTATATTCACGCAGAGAAGATGCAACAGTAGAATCAAGGTGTTTCTGGTGAGACAAAAGGGCAGAAGAAGAGTCAGGTGACTTGCTCATCACACACAGTCTATGCAGTCAGCACTCACCAGCACTGAAGCAAGCCTTGACAGCCCTGAGATCCCTTGTGGAATGTGGCAAGACAGAGGAACTGTTGTGGGACCGTGAACATCTGCCACCCTTTCTCACAGAAGGCTGCCGTGATCTCCACAGTTCCTGTGAGGCTTGGAACTTCATGCCCCCAGATAACAGGCTGTAAAGCTGCTCACCCTGGCTCCACAGTGACAGCCACGCTACGCTGTGCTTCCCTGCTCTGTCACCAGTGCTGCTTGGTTCAGTCATGCCAGATTAGGGGCATCCTTGAGGGCTGAGGAGATAGAGAACTCACTGTATGTGCCTTTGTTTTTCCCACTGGTGTAAGCAATAAGCTAGACTTGTGCATCAAAGCCCTGGAGGAATACACAGTTAATCCTTTTTCAGAAAGGAAAAAAGGATACATGGCAAAAGGAAAATAAACCAGTCCTTATGATTCACAGCCCAGCTCAACACTAGACTGTAGAAAGTGGGTCAGTGCTGGGGAAGGGTGAGTCCAGTCTTTTTTTGTTGTTGGCCATGGGGCCGCCATGGGGCCTGAACTCTGGGCCTGGGCACTGTCTCTCAGGTCTTCAGCTCAAGGCTAGCACTCTACCACTTGAACCACAGCACCACTTCTGGCTTTCTAAGTGGTTTAATGGAGATAAGAGTCTCACCGTCTTTCCTGCCCGGGCTGGCTTTCAACTGAGATCCTCAGCTCTCAGTCTCCTGAGTAGCTAGGATTACAGGTGTGAGCCACTGGCACCCAGCCCGAGTCCAGCCTTAAGTCTGCCACATTCCCTCTTCCTGTTCTATAACATATCTCAGTTTGGGCTGGGAAGTTGGCTCAGTGGTAGAGCGCTTGCCTTGCATGCATGAGGCCCTGGGTTCAATTCCTCAGCGCCACATAAGCAGAAAAAAAAAGAAGCCAGAAGTGGCGCTGTGGCTCAAGTGGTAGAGCACTAGCCTTGAGCTGAAGAGCTGAGGGACAGTGCCCAGGCCCAGAGTTCAGGCCCCACGACCGCAACAACAACAAAAAAAAGATACCTCAGTTTCCCTCTAACAGCCAGTTCCTCTGTCTGGGTAGCTCTGCCAAAGCTTTTATACTCTGTAAATCAGTACAATACTATTACTAACCTATTGATCCATTATTGCCTTATTAGAATCAAGCTTAGGGGAAAGCATTTCTGTTCTTCGGAGAATAGTGCTAAGTTACTTCTTAACAGCCCAGTCTCTCCTTTATCAGACTGCTAAGAGAATAACAAAAAAGTAGAATTTAACTGAACAAAAGTAGAATTTAACTGAACAAAGGCTCTGCAGGATATCCATTAGAAGAAAGGATGAGCTATTTTGTATGAACTTGAGGGGGGTTTTTTTGTATGTGTGTGACCCTAAATACCACCTGCTGTTTGAGTTCCATGACAATAATACAGGAATTCCTTAAAATTAAAACTTTGTAGTTTAGCAACTCATTCGGTGGCCTCAAAAGGTAAGAGACAAGTGATAATGTCACCCAAAACAAAGTGTGACATTACATTACATATGCATTACTTATAGGTAGTCATGAAGCCCTTTACACTATAAGCACTTCTAACAAGCTAGATGGTCTAGTTTGTAACCACATGAGGCAGGAAACTATAATTCTAGAAAAAGCAGAATGAAGGTGGTAAGAAGTGACAAATACCTCATGTCAGAAGGAGTCATTTAGATGTCTATTGTGTTGTTGTTGCTATAAGTAATTGCAGCTTAGTAATTTACAATACATTTAGCATCTTGAAACACTGTAGGGGAAAAGTCAAACAGCTCTCACTGTACTAAAACCAAGTCAATGAACTTGTTTATTTTTTCTAGAGGTGCCTTCAGCTTCCCAGCTTCTAGATGTGCAACGCACATTTTCCAGCTTCGGTACCACTGCTGCTTTTGTTGGCTGGTGGCCTCCACCTTCAAAGCCCCACCTCAGCAAATCAAGTTCTCCTACTTCATCATGCTGGCATCTTGTTTTGCCCTTCTTAACCTTTGTGGGCCCTGTAATTAATTAGGTCCAGAATAATCCAAGAAGATCATGCTAGTTAAAGTGACCTATTTCCATCTTCAATCTTGATTGCTCTTTGCTATGGGACAACAAACTTCTAAGTTCTGTTGCTTAGTGCATGGACACTTAAACATCTTCGGACAGACCATGACTGCCCACCATGGAAGTAAACAGAAAATGAAACCGTGGGAACTGAAGTAGTCATCAAGCCATTTTGAATAGAGGCAAGTAGTTGTCTCCATAGTAACAAGCCCAGGTGAAAGAAGATAGAGCTGAAGTAATTTACATCACATTCTTCAGGCCAGGAGTGATGGATAATCAAGATCAAGATTTACTAGGATTAACATTCCTATGATCACAGGTTGAAAAGTTCATAATTTTAGCACTAGGAACCAGGGGGTTTAGACCTATAACCTTAGCTACACGGGAGGCTGAGAGCTGGAGGATCATGTTTCAAACCCAGCTCTAGCAGAAGAATCCACTAGACTCCATCTTTAAATAATCAGCAAAAAGCCAGACTAGAAGCATGACTCAAGTAGTATAGTACCAGACAAGCAAACAAAAAGCCCCCAGTTCAAACCCTAGTACTGTCAAAAAAAAAAAAAAGGTATTTTAGGAAGGCTTTTCTAGGAATACAGTTACATTAAGGCGGTTATGATAGTACACAGATGTAATCCCAACACTCAGAAAGCCGAGGCAAGATGTCAAATTCAGTACCAGCCTGGGCTAAATACTGAGACTCTATCTCCTAAACAATACAAACAGGGCTGGGAAGGTGGCTCAGTAGTAGAGACTTGCCTTGCATGCATGAGGCCCTGGGTTTGATTCCTCAGCACCACATAAGCAGAAAAAAAAGCTGGAAGTGGCGCTGTGGCTCAAGTGGTAGAGTGCTAGCCTTGAGGTGAAGAGCTGAGGGACAGCACCCAGGCCCAGAATTCAGGCCCCACAACTGGCAAAAAAAAAAACAATACAAACAAAATAGAAATTGATTACCTTTTGTTTTGAAACAAATTTCAAAATAGAAATGTATTACATTTTGTTTTCACAAAATAAACTTTTTACAGTGGGTAATTTCACTTATCTAGAGAATTATACAAGTTGCCTCACTTCCTGGGAATGCTAGACTTATATAACTGAATGGTTATCATTCTTATTAATATAACATTCACTTTAACTTAGTTGTAGAGTTGAATGAGAATCTTTAAATACAGACACTTAATTTGATGCTAAAATTTTAGAAATATGTAATTTCCTTTAAAAGTCACCTAGAAACAATGCTTTTTCTTCTCTAGAAAAACAATTTTAAGTAAGTTTTTTATTGTGAAAATACTGTACAGGGGGGTTACAATTACATGAGCAAGGTAATGAGTACATTTCTTATCAAGCATTGTTGCCTCCTTTGTTTTTCCCCTACCCTCCCATCTCCACAACTATACTTCCCCCTCCCCTGCACCTAAATTGTAAAGTTCGTTAGAAAAACAATTTTTTAATGGTAAGGGAAATAATCTTTGACTTTATTATGTGCACAGATGCTATTAAAATTTGAACATGAGAAATTTAAAAATTGTATAAAATACACAAAAATCACAATTTGAATTTGGTAGATATATATATATACATATACACATATATGTTTCATAAGCAGGATGGTTCTTTACAAAATGTCTATATTGTTGAAATGCTGAAATAGAGAACAGTCATTTTAGGAATAAATAGTCCACAGAAAGAAATGCAAATCTTTCTTGAGTAATAACTGTAAGTAAGCCACAGGTTATACACACAGTACCCCAGTACTCTACTACTTTGCTGCAATACCACAGTACTGTGATTCTAACAAGTTCTAACAAGCTGCAGACACACTGACTCCCTGCCTGAAGCCTTTGCCTTGAAAATGAATGACGACAGAAAAGAAAACGATCCAACTTAGAGACAGTTCCTTACAAAAGCAAAACACAGGGCTTCAATCAAGCAGAAAACCAAACGCAGTCTCGTCACCTAGGTTATCTTTAGACCTGAACCCTTGCAGGTGTATGCTTAATTCTTCACAGGCTCAGTTCACTCCCACAGAATGCCACAGTTCACTCCACCGCTTACCATCTTGTGTACGGTCTTTCAAAGGTTAATAATACCAAATCCCAAACAACAGCATAGCTGAACTCTGAAGGGTAGAAAATCTACCAAGCATTTATATCCATATCACCCTACCCTCTTCTTATGCCTGTATCCACAGTTCATTTTCATCCATCTCTGTAGGTGATGCACTTTGCATGGAAAAAGACGAATAACTCCCATCTTCAGGTATGGGATTCTGTGTTGGCCAGTTGTTTTCTTGCAAGAGTGGTCTTGGAGACAAAATAAACTGAGTCTCAAAATAGTCTACAGACTCTCCATCTTCCTTCTCCAGTAGGAACTGATACTCACCAAATCGGACCATGCACCTGTACGGTAGATCTATCTTATTGAGGTAGCCTAGTTCCTGGCTGTCCACCATCAGGCTGGTCCGCCTACTCATATTTTTTATTTCAAAAGAGAGGATTGAGCTGTTGAATTGTTTAAATACCTGCAAAGAGAACTGGACTCGGGAAACCTGTCTGTCCAGAAAAGTATACTGACAGATACTGGAATTTCGTCCAACCTTCACCACTTGGCTAGAGGGGAGTTTCTCTCTGTTGTAAAACTTTATTGATTTAAATATTCCACCATTCTGGCCAGGATGGTAAACAGTCATCCGGAGACAAGTTAATGTCTCTTCTGTGTCAGCATCTTCAAAATTAGACATGATGAGCTCAGCCTGCAACAATGAAATCACCAAATTAGCTAAAAACCCATACTGCATGTGTGGAGAACTTTTTTCTTTTTCCTTTTTTTTTTTGTCAGTCGTAGGGCTTGAACTCTGGGCCTGGATGCTGTCCCTCAGCTCTTCAGCTCAAGATGACCTCTCTACCACTTGAACTACAGCATCACTTCTGGTTTCTGGTGGCTAAGAAAAGAGTCCATGAGTTAAGAGTCTCGTGGATTTTCCTACCGAGGCTGGCTTTGAAACCATGATCCTCAGATCTCAGTCTCCTGAGTAGCTAGGATTTCAGGCATAAGCCACCAGCATCAGGCTTTTATTTTTCTTTTTGTGTTAGTACTAGGGCTTGAACTCAGGGCCTCTGCACTGTCCCTTACCTTTTTCACTCAAGGCTGGTGCTATGCTCCTTGAGCCACTTATACCCTTTTGCTGGTTAATTGGAGATAAGAAGAAAATATCTCTTGTTTGCCAGGGCTGGCTTCAAACCTGGATCCTAAGATTTCATTCCCCTGAATAACGAGGATTACAGGAAACACAGGCCCCCTGCAGTATGTGAAATTTATTCTAATCTCTTTTCCTATCCATTTATATTTCCATTTCTGGTTTAACTATATGACCATACACATAATCTTAACAATGACAAGGAATGATTATTAACAGTAAAAGCATGTAAGGGTAGCATCAAACAGCCTGTTCTTTCTCATTTAAACAGAATGATCTGAGCTCAAACAAAATATGGTCATTGTACTTTAAAAAGGAAGTCAGCAAAATAAATAATTTCTGGTTGGAATCCTCTCAGAAGATATATGTGGAAAGAAAATATTGATTATTGTTTCACAACAAGATTATTATTATAAATAGTGAAACATGGTTCAAAAGGAAATTCAAATGTCATAAACAAATAGATTTATTGCAACTCTTATCCTTACATCCTAACCTCAGTTTCTAGTAAGTAAATGAATCAAAAGAGTAAATGCTTCAAATAGTTAATGTATTCCATAGTTAAAAAATTTATCTTTAAGTGAAAAAGGCTGAGTTCAAGTCCCAATATTGGTGTGCTTACGTGCATGCATGCATGGGTGTGCACATGTGCATACACACACACACACACACACACACACACACACGCACAAACTTCAAAATTCAAGCATTATTTTTTTAAAAATCTAATAAGGTAGTTCTAAACATCACAGTGTACATTAGTGCTGCAATTATTTTTTATGATCAATGATTCCTAGTGACTGGCTGAAGAAACGACCCTGAACCACAAGTATCATCATCCAACTGCTGCTAACCACATCCTTAGAGGCCTCAGTCCTGAGGCCCCACGCTTTACCACCTGTCCCCTTGCTAATCACTGGAATATGTATACTAGTGCAACAAGAAAAGTTATTTTGACATAAAACTGCCACTTACTAACTATATATGTTTTTTCAAAATTCAAACAGTAAAAAAGACCTAAAATGTCTCATTCTCCACTCTTAATTCTTTTGTCTTCCTTCCTTACCTTCACCTCCCAAGTGTTGGGATTATATCTATGAAAACCACACCCAGATTAAAAAGTTGCTTGTGATCTTATAGTGACTTTCTCCAAACTTGTGTTGACACACATGTACACTTACTTCTCCACAGGGAGACACAGGCAAGCGATTCCAGCAGTGGTGGAGTGGGCTGAGGTGTTGACCCAAAACCCTGTGATGATCCCCCCCTTGGTCTGATCATATTGTAGACCACTTCAGAAAAGCTAGCTTGTCTCCATGAGGACCTTAGTATGGCTCAGAAGGAAACTGCTGCTGGACCAGCTACAGACTGGTCTTGCTTTGGATATCTGGATCCTCTTTTTAGACTATCTGATAAGTAAAGTTAAATTCATTGTGGAAACAAAGAAGTAGTTCTCAACTGAAAACATGCATGCATTATCATATCAGATGTTTTGTTGATCTGAGATCTCTCTTGCATTTTGCCCTGGCTGACCTTAAACCAAAAACCTCTTGATCCATCCTATCCATCAAAGTAGCTCAGATTACAAATTCTGATTCCTTGAAGATGGAATTGATTCATCATTCTGAGCCCTCCACGAACCTCCAGTGGATGGCCCTCTGCACTAGTCAGGGGAACATTTATTGAGTGGAAAGGGACAATACTACTTTACACTCACAACTCACTGGTGCTGACATTATCTCTATTATAAAGAGAGGAAATTAAAGAGTAATCAAAGGCGTCTTAAAAGATACATAGTGCTGGGTGCTGGTGGCTCACACCTGTAAGCCTAGCTTCTCAGGCGGCTAAGATCTGAGAACCATGACTCAAAGCCAGCTTGGGCAGAAAAATCCATGTGATTCTTATCTCCAATGAACCAGCAAAAAAAAACCAAACTAGAAGTGGAGCTGTGGCTCCACCAAAGCTCAAGGGCAATACCCAGGCCCTGAATTCAAATCCCAGGGCCCTTCTTCCCTCCCTCCCCCCCCTCTCTCTCTCTCTCACACACACACACACACACACACACACACACACACACACACGATGCAGAGTTGATGAGGATGAAGACTAACCAATTAATATAGCGCCAGAGTTCATGTCGATGTTTCCTTAAATAAATGCCAACAGATATATAAATGCTAAGATTAAGAAATATTTGCAACTCGCATGTTGCTGTTCTGACACACAGGAACCATAGAAAACTACGGAGACACCCATGGCTCAGCTGTCACTACTTGTGATACCGTTTTTCCTTGAGCTCCGCCCGAAGCATCATAGAGGTTCTACGCAGAGGATTACATTCTAGAGTCAGATTGTTCACAAAGTTCACTTTGTTCTATATCTAAGAACGAGAGCCATGGCGCACGCCACAGCACGATTCTAGCGTTTTTGAAGCTGCTCATTTTGAACTGTTTTGGTAGCTAAGGATATTTCTAGTAAGATACGGATTGGAGTTTAATCTAAAGACTAGGACTTGAAAAGAACAAGGCCCTAATCCCCCAAAGTGGGGAGGGGCTGAGGCCAATGGCGCCCAAAGGGCAGAGAGAAGAAAGTCAAGCAGCCACCACCAGCCAGCCATCTGAGAGGGCAACTTCTGGTGACAGACTCGAAGCGAACTGGTGCAAGGCTTCTTTGGTGCCCAGCCATGGCAAGTACTTGAGAATGGGGTGCCCCCTAGAGAAGGAAAGGACCCCCAGGCCATCATCTGCGGGGGCTCCTATTTTGGCCACAGACAACAGCAATCTGTGTACACCCCATTGGGTTACGGATGGAATAGGTCAGACTGTAGGAGAAGTCAGAACAAACAAGCAAACCCCCTTTGAGGAGGAGCTTAATCTCCATAGACCCCTCTGGATGACCAAAAGTAACGATATGCCAATGCCAACTACTGTGGACCCCCAGTCCTCACCCGGGGCTCCTATCTCTGACACAAAGGATTATCTGTGCAGACCACTCTTTATGACCAATAATGGCGATTTTCCAACCACCCCGTGCCCGCCAGCCTTTGACAATACGGTCCTCAGAAAGGCAGCTTCGGGTGTTCTCATGTCTTCTTTGAAGAAGCGGGATGTGCACAAAGCCCTTGTAATGACTAACCTCCGCCTTCGGAACTTAAAACATGAAATCCTGCAGGGCCAAGCCGTTGCATCCCAGGGGACTGAGTGTAAATCATCCATAGAGGGCATTAAGCCCCTCAGAACCCCACAGAACAAGAAAGAGCATGCTACCGTGGGCTTCAAAAGAGATGTCCAAACGCCTGAATTCTCATCTTCAGCAGTGAATATCTCAACTGATGACCCGACTGCTGGATTCCAGCCCTCCAGTGCCAAATCTAGTCTGTCCGTACCAGCTCTTGACAGCCCCGCTTTGACCATCAAGCGCATCGTAAACACCTTTAGTGGCCACATAATCGAGGGCCGACTCACTGATAACCTGGCTGCCAGGAAATGCTCATCAGCCAATGGGATTAAGCCAGGCAAGAGCAAGGTGGCATTGAAGACGGACAAGACTGTGCAATGTGACTTGCGAACACTGACAGCAAAGAAAACGAACCTCTTCCGGGCCTCCTCAAACACCAAGGAGAAGCATAAAAAAAAGAGCTGTCCATTCATGGACAACTATGATGAATTCAAAGCGAGATATCATTCTACAAACAAAGAAGTAAAACAGCGAAGCAAGTCCTCGAATGCACAACTCCTGGGGGAACAAGGTTGTAAACTTTTAAACTGTCTATTGACCAAAAAGACGGTGAATTCTAAAAGAGTTTTGGGCACCATGGTTAGAAACACTACAAAGGTTGGTGCCTCCACAGTTGACACTCCACTCGGCAGGTCCCGCTCAAAGCTCACGAAGAGAGTCAGGTTTGACCTGAGCTCCCCAAGAACAGAAGCCCCAACCACTAAACACCTGGTGGTTAGGGAAGCAGGCAACAAGCTTAAATGGTGCGAGGCTGCCTGTCCCACCGATATTGTCCTCAAAACCTCAAACCTCCAAAAAGTAAGGGGAGGAGCCACAAGATCCCAGGCTGCCAAATCTACTTTGGTAGTGGAAGATTTAAACACAGATGGAACCACCTTGCTCAGCAAGAACATGCAAGAAACTAAGAGCCCCCAATTAACTGAGGCCATCACATCTGTTGACATCCAGGCTGCTGGAACTCATTCAGCGGGGGTCACCGACCAAACTGAGGCCACGGAGAGCATGAAGATCACGGATCAAACAATTTGCCTCCCGAACATAGCAAGCCAACCAGCTGAACTCCTACCTGCTCGGGCTAAGCTTGCCAGGCCGTTAATACTCACCAAAAACATCTTTCTCACCATCCACCCTCTGCGCCAAACCAATGGACTTTTGACTGACAAGGAGAATCTGAAAACCAAAGAAACTAAACTGCACAAGGATGACTTGACCACAAAAGCAGTGCAGCAAACCCTGCGCCTTGGACGAGTTATACTCTTACCAGCCAGGGTTAACCCAGCAGAATTGAAAGAGCAAAGGGCTGCTCTGGACAGCAATGAGACCATCTGTGATCTTGGAATCATAGGCACCAATCTCAGTCTTGCTAATCCGCAAGTAGAAAAACTGCAAGAATTTACTAAACGTGGATGCAGCCGAGGTAAATGTCCAGCGTCTCACAGCGGTACACAGGCTGTAGCACATTGCTTTGAGTGACACACAGCATTCATGCGAGTGCATGGAGTGGAAGGCCATACTTTCTGAGTGCTCCACAGGCCATACACAATTACCAACTCTTAGAGAGGAAAACAAAAGCTCCAAACAACAGAAATTGCCCAAATTAAAAGATAACTTGGAAGATAAGGAGAAGCATCAAGAAAAATAGCTATTCAAGAAAAAAAAAACCCAATCTGTTATGAACAGTTGCAATTAAACAGGAAGCAGCTACATGAAGAAACTTTGTAAAGGACCCTAAAAACAGCCCTTCTGGAACATTCCGTCGTAAATGCCCAACAGTGAAGATGACCAGTCATTTGTGGGACTTAGTACCCTAGCCAGGGAATATAACCCAATGTTTCAGCCATGATCCTGAAGGTGAAAATACGATCCATTTTATGTGTTCCAGAAATTATAAGTGATCAAAAACTTAAATATAAACTGCCACTTTATTTATGTACAAACATGTGTATCAAAAATTAGGCTAGAAACAATCCTTCAATGTGACCTTGGATCCAGCATTAAAATTTTTAATGAACTATCTAGTTGTTTTTTTATTTTAACAATTTCAAGAAATTGCAAAACATGCCTACCTAAAAAATACTTTTTAAGAAAATTACCAAATTTTCACCAAATTACTTGATTAAAAAAAAGTGTCTAGTATTTACTGAAGAATGTAATTTACATTCTTTGGAAATGTGTGCTATTGCTTAAAATATACTAATAAAAGAATTAAAAATACTGAAACAGAAATCGTCTGGACTTTTGTATTGTTCCATTAATAATACATATGGGCAGCCGGGTGCCCATGGCTCATGCCTTAATGCTAGCTACTCAGGAGACCAGTACTAATTAGGGGTTTACTGCTCAATAATCTTCAATGAGGTCACTTCTGTGTGCCATCTTTACTAAATACTGTCATTAAGACTATGCTAGGTAAAGAAAACAACAAAAAAGAGTTGGGGATTTAGCTCAGAGGAAGAGCACTTGCCTGGCTCAAAGTGCTAGGCCTTGAGCTCAGTCCTCAGCTCTGAAACAAAACAAAGAAAAAAACAACATTCCCTTTCTATGCTTGCTGAGATTTACCCTGGAAATACCACCTTTTTTCTATTTTGCAAACTTATGCTGTAAGCCTTTGGAAAGAGAACGGATGGTCCATCCCTTTAGACCTGTTGCTCTAGCAACATGAGTGTCAACAAGAACAAAAACCCAAGTGATGTGAGCAGAAAGGATACAGAAAAAGCCACTATTTCATTTCACTTTTCCTTTTTTCCCGTCATAACTTCAGTCTGGGTCCAAAAAGGAAGGGTCAAAGACAGATACATAGAAGATATATAAGTTGAACAAGAAAGTCTAGTCTTTCTTGAGATTTGGGGGGAGATTTGTTACTGCGCTCTAAAGTAATCTGACCTGACAAATGCATTCCTCTGTTTTAGGAAGGTATGAAAGACAGCAGACTAACCTAAGAGCTATTTGCTATCAGGTGTTTCTCAGCCTTATGACTTGTTTGTCCGTGGTTCACAGCTGTAATCCTATGTGCTCAGTAGGCTGAGATCTGAGGACCATGGCAGCAAAATCCATGAGCCTTTCCAATTAACTACTACAAAACAACAACAAAAACCCACAAAGTAACACTAGTAGAAACTAACCAAATAACTAAAAGGACCAAAATAAATCATTACATTTAAGATTGAGATTGATGGATGCTTTATAAAGTATATAGGTACTCCAATTAGTCTTAAATTGCCAATAACCATGAGCTTATACAGTGGTACTGGACATTGCGTATGGAAAACAAACACACCACACACACACACACACACACACACACACACACACACACACAAAACGAGACCAGGAGCAGAAAGAAGAGCCCATCTTCACTGTTCACCCTGCACCTTTGGAACTGTATGCTATGTGCATTCAAATCTCTTTAAATGTTTTACCCATTTTCTTTACAAGAAACATCAGGTATAGGTCTGTGTGTATGTAGGCCTGTGTGTGTGATTAAAATGGAGTTGGAAACTAGCAAAGTATCAGAACATAGCAAAGCTTGATATCTGGCATCCCCAAGTTGTAAAACAACTGTTTAACAACTGATTTGACAAACAGTTGTTGGATCTGTCGACAAACAGATCCGCATTAACAAAGGAACTACAATAAACAGACAACAAATATAGAATTGAAAACAAGCCACATTCTCAGCCTTGTCAGGGAAAGCAGAAGGGGTCCGTTCACTCCTGATGTATGGAGAGGGGGCCACCTCTTCAGTGTACAATCCTGGGGTTTACACACTCACCTGGGAGTCACAGAGCTGCACACCGGTTAGATTCTGATTCTAGAAAATGCTTCTGGCCACTCTCTAGGGAAAGAAGAGTGAATACATGTAAGGTGTGGACACAGAGTGCTCAGCAAAACACCCTTGCCATTGCCCATGCCCATTGCAGGGCCTACCGATCTCCACCCCTGTGGTCCTGCAAAACTGAAGAAATGTACTACTCTACACTGCTGATGCCTGTTTGGCCTTCAAATGGAAAAAAATCCAATTTTATACCAAGATATGTTTGCTAAAAGGAGCCAGATGTCCGAGCAGTTTAACCGAACATTTGGCATCCTTGAGTGCCCATGCATGCCAACAAGTTTTCTCATGCTCGGAGAGTTTTTTTTTTTCTCCTGGTGCTCTACCTCTTGAGCGATGCCTCCAGCCTCACCTTTTCTGGCTATTTTGGAGACTTTTATGCCCTGGCTTACCCTAGGGCCCTAAAGAGGTCTCAGCCTCCTGAGTCACTTGGATTACAGGTGTGAACCATGGGTCCCTGCAAGAGTTGTCTTTTACTTCTTTTGGAAACAGTTGACTGTAATAATGATGTGTTATAATCGATGGTGTGTTAGGAAAGGTTCCCTGGGAGTTCTGGCCCCAGTTCTTCACCTTCAGGAGAGAGTATATGATTGCTGTAAGTTTGTGAAAGGCTTTTCTCCCCAACAAACACTCACCACTGAACCAGGCAGTAGCTCATACCAGTAATCCTAACAACTCAGGAGGAGGCGGAGATCTGAGGATTGAGGTTCCAAACCAGCCTGGGCAGAATATCCATGAGATTCTTCATCTCCAATGAACGAGCAAAAAGCCAGAAGTAGAGCTATGACTCAAATGGTGGAGTGACAGACAGCCTGGAGGGAAATAACTAAGTAAGTTCTGGAGCCCAGGCCCTTAAATTCAATACCCAGTACACACATATTCTCTGTCTCTCTGTCTCTGTCTCTCTGTGTCTCTGTCTCTCTGTGTCTCTGTCTCTCTGTCTCTCTCTCTCTGTCTCTCTCTCTGTCTCTCTCTCTCTCTCACACACACACACCAAATAAGAGCATTAAGTTGATAGGAGAGAAAGAGAAAATTGACCAACACAGCAAAAGTTAGCCTCCCACCCAAGCTCATCACCCTACGGCAGGGCATTGAAGATTCTGGCAAACCCCGCGGTCAGTCAGCGCATCTCAGATCACAGGTCTTTAAAAAAGGGTAGGGGGGGAGAGGTGCATGTGGGGTGACCAAACCTCAAACCCCGGGGCTGGGGGTGGGTGGGAGAAGAGACCCTCAAGCGGGCGATTGGCCGATCCCCAATCGGAAGCTCACCACCCCACTTTTCTAAGACCCAAGTCTCCAAGGCTGCCGCAGGAAGTTCTGGTCCAGAACCAGAGACTTGGCCCTCGGCAGAGCCCAGTCTGGACAGGAGAAAAAGGAAAGAAAGAAAGAATAGCAACAACAAAAATCCTGTAGAACCCATGAAATCGCGTCGGGGCCTCGGGGTGCCCGGGAGGAGGAGTGGGGGAGGAAACGTCAGAGGCCACCCTGCAAAAACAGTACTCCCCCTCTCCCCCACACCCCGCCCCGGGTTCTGATTAGAAGAAAAAGAAAATGCTTGCAACACACAGGAAAAGTGCAAAGAAGACACGCCCCCGCCTCCCATCCGTTCTGGGGTGTTCCCCTCATTTTGTTCATGTATTTATTGACTTGTTTTTTAAGCTTTTTCTAGACGCATCCCTGGGCTAGGGTCGACCTAGCTATAGTGGGGTTTTTGGGGGGGGGCTATTTTTTCCTAGCTTTTCTTTAATATCTGCCCCCTGTCTGCCCTCCAGGAGGTGAAGCTGGCGACGTCTCCCCACCCCCGGTCCCCGGTCCCCCCCATTCCTGATCGAAGCTGTCCTATCTGGGGGACGCGCCTCGCCCCGCCTCGCCCCGGGACTGGGGCTCCGAGGGCTCACCTTGGGGTTGGCGGATCTGTGATCTTTCCCGGACAGCTTCGCTTTCAGGGCTCGGAGCAGGCAGATCCGCCGATCCGCAGACCCGGAGACGCGCGCGGGGTTCGGCGAAGGCGCAACGCTCTGCCCCGGTCTGTGCGCACTGGGGCGGGCTGCGCTCTGCCGGGTCTGTGCGCACTGGAGCGGGCTGCGCTCGGCCGGGTCTGTGCGCACGGTGGGCCGGGGCTGCGCTCTGCCGGGTCTGTGCGCAC